CCCCCCCCCTCATTATCTTCTTATCTGCGTGATTCAGTTTGATTCGCCTCAGTGCAACTCACCTTTTCGGCGCTAGCCGTCACGGAGCATAAATTGTTTTAGATTGTGTTACTGTCACCAAAAAGTTCGGACGTCGTTCTTGAATTTCCGTACAAAAATGTACTGACTCTAATTGAACTATTTACTTGGTTAATGTTCGTTAATGTTTAGTTAGTTCTCTAAATACAAGTAAATGATCATTTTTCTAGCTTGATTGTAGCTTTTCTTACTGCTGTTAAGATAGCTAACTAAAGAAATCTACCTAAATACCTACTGTCTCTGCGATATGCAAATAACGAATAAACGTCATGCTTCATGAGATATTTGATTATATTATATTTATTTCGATCTCGTATTTGTGAAAAATGTTTGACAATATTTTAGTATACGCGAAATTTTCTAAGTCGCCTAAAATCGTAAATTGACACTGAATCTAACCCGGTCTCCCGCGTAACAGGTGGGAATATAATAACCACTACGCTATCAAGGATTTTGATGTAAATATAGACCACAAGTTTTTTTCACTCAAGTTTTTTTTATTTTGCGTATCTCAGTCACGAGCGAAATTAGAATTTTATAATGTTCACAGTTGGCTAAAAAAGTATTTGGCCTCGTGGGTTGCCTGTTCTCCTATTTCTTCGCTCTCTTGTTGTGGTACGATGAGCTTCAAAATACCTGATCTAAATGACATCCGATGAAGTGAATCGCATTCATTACGAAATCAAAACAATTGCAATTTGCTCTTTCTGTGATAATAAGTACAAATTGTGATTTGAAACTATGGACAGATTTTTAATTCACACCACAATTTGTACTTATTCACATCTTTACTATATTCATTTTGGTTCATTACTCAGTTTGGTTCTCAGTTTATATTTCATAATATCCAGATTATTTTGGAATATAATAGCAGAAGCCACACGCAGTCATTGACTGCCTATTTTTTGTTTTGCTTTGGACGGCACACACGGGCTACACAAGTTCATCTGTTTAGACTTCGCTGCTTGCAAAATAGTAAGTTCGCTATTGTTTGTGTAGCAAATTTACTAATTATAATTCACTAGCGTGCACATGGAATAGAAGCTATTTTCACATTCTTATTTTGACCGATGTGTTTCATTTCGCGAAGCGGAAGAATGTTTAAACAACCACAGACTGTCAGAACAGCATCTTTCTGTTTAGGGAGTCGTTTCTGTTTTTAACGTCCAAACTAGGTTCTGTTCGCAAACGTTCAAAGGGTGGTTCGGAGCCTTTCACCCGACTTCACTATAAAACATACCCGGCATGTTCTTAAAGTAGTAAATATACAGGAATATCTGCTCATAGAGCTTTGAATCTCTATAGGTTTTCAAAAAATATGACAATGGCACCTTATTTAGCGAGACAGACTTTGTTTCGGTTGTAAGCTTTCGGGTTTCGGGATACTAGTTAGCCTGCGTTATGTTGTAGGGCAGCGTTTATATAAATACAATATAAAATCGTATAAATCGCCAAAGAATACATAAAAAGCACAAGAACAAGCTGATGCGGTCGCTGAAGTCATAGATCGCCGTCACTGAAGTGAGCAAGTAAGGCAAAGATGGTATTACCTCTGCACTGATGCTTTCTTGATTGGGATCCATTTGTGATGTCTTAGGAGATATCTAGGAGACACAGCAATAAGAAAACAGTGAAAAACCGACACACAAGTGCGATCTTTTAGGATGTGTGATCTTTTAGACTGAGGAACCAGGCCTTCTACGTTGGTAATAACAATAAATATGTTTTTATATAGCGCTTCCCGTGACTCGAAGCGCTTTACAGAAAGAAAAAATATAATGATGTAATAAACAATGTTCAGTAATTAAATAGGAGTGTTTTCAGTTTCTGTTTAAATGTTTGTAGAGATTCAGTGTTTCTTAGGTCAGATGGTAGTGAGTTCCAGAGGGTTGCTGAAGAAACAGAAAAAGAACGAGCACCATATGTTTCTGTTCTGTAGCTAGGTTTCGTGAGGAGCAGGCCAGAAGATGAAGAACGGAGAGCACGAGTAGGACTGTAGCACAATCCTACAGATTCCCACGCCATACATGGTAACATAGAAAAGCAGTAACCTTTTTATGCGTTTACTTGTACGTCCTATAAAGAGAATTTTTTATGTTTGGCAAATGCGCAAATGCGCAAACGATTTTTTCTGTGACGTATGTACAGTTAAGACTGATCCAAGTGAGCGGTGAACGCGGCGCGCAAAGCATGAGTGGACAAAATGACATGCCCTAAACATTTTTGGAACTTAAAAGAACAAAGCAAATGTGTGTTTTTATTTTTCCTTTACATAATTCTGCTTCTTGCAGACAGTTATGCTATATTTCAGTCAAAAGAAAACAAACAAAAAACAAAAAAAAAAAGTAAAAGTTTGGTTACAGTTGCCTGGGAATGACGGCCGGCGGCAAAACAGCTAAACACGGTGTGACTGGCTGGTACAAAATTCACCGCTCGGCTGGACAGCTACGATCAAGAGAAGGGTCTGGTACCCAAGCCAACCCCACATGCGCATGCGTTACTGAAATCTCCTAAATTGGTCCTTAAATATTTGCTTTTTGCAAGTTTAAGCCTATTTACTACACACAGGATTACAAAACACAAAAATTTGRTTGTTTGAGCAGAACTGGATTACTGAGCTCGCGATAAATCTCATCAAGAGATGTGAATTCTCCTCACAAAATGACGTCATAAAAAGAAAAAAAATCGACGGAGTGAAAATAGGGTAAAATATTGTAGCAGCGAGTATGCAAGAAATTGTTTTGATGAGAGCATGTTCTTTTGGGTTGAATGAACAATTTGCACAACAATAGCTGAGAACGTCATGCGTTAAATAGCATAGCATTGAATAACAATACGACTGCCTACCATGTTATTTGAAACAAAAGTAAATTAGCAAAACAGGGTTCAAAAATAAATAAATTAGTATTATGAAGGTTCAAAATMTTTATGAATGTCATAGAACACGAGCTTCTTATTTTTGGCATCTTATATGATTTCACCTTTTATCTCCTTGGGGAAAATTTCTTAATTCACTCGTCGATTGATGAGAGCACTTGTGATTTCAAGTCTCTACAAGCAAGTATTTGCATGTTCAGCGATTCATTTCTAACAAAAGAATCATGATCACGAGATAATTCAACCTTGACGACAATTAAAGCGACCAATATTTCAGCGCTTTATCAGCTCCAACTTATTTAGTTTTTTGTTGAAAGATCCACCGTCATCGATAAAGGAAGTTGAACCTCAAGTATCAAGTGTTTGTGAAGGAATGAAAAGCCAAAAGCCCATAGAGTTCAGGTAAGGTATTTCGAGTATTTTGATCGAGAACTTTCCGGGTTTCGCTCTGCATGAAGATTTTGGTAACTGCTGTTTCAGATATTGACAATGACTTCACGTTGAAAAAAAATTAAACATGTTTACAACAGAATTGATGTTAACGAGCAAGATTGACGAAAAACTTGACAGAAAAAAATGATGGATTAGTTTACAAGAGTGTGACGACGAAAACTGATACTAAGTTATCTTGTAATTCGATGCTACACAAGAGTAAAGAGGACGAGCCTTGGACGTTCGATGAGGTTGAAAACAACCAGCATATTACTAATGATTTTACGAATAATTTAAGGCATAATGAGTGCTTAAACGACACAGAAACGCTTACATGTACTGGAAACAATGTTAAGACAGAAAAGATGGAACAAAACAGCACGGTTTTAAGAGAAAAATCTTTACAATTCTTCGAAGATTCGAAATTCAAACGCGAATGCGAGTGGACGTCTTCTTACTTCGCCAAGAAAAACAGCGAGGATTTGCAACCAAAAGACAAAGATTTAAACGGTAATTATGGTCATATAGCCATCAGGAATAAAACTGAAGCTTCTAGTTCAATATTATGCGAAAATGTCACTTCACCGTTATCTAAATTTCAACAAAATGGAAAACCTAATGGGATTCCTGTGTTGGAGCAGCAGGGGGGACATGGAACTAGTGATTCTTTTAAAGAGGATTCTTCAAGAAGTTGTGACTTAATTTCGGATAATACTTCTATTACAAGTGCGTATAAGGATATTAAACACGCTGGACATGATATGAAGGGTTATGTAAGCCCTAAAGAAGGAAATATCGCGTCATGTTTACACCGTGAACGATTTGACAGATTTTCTTCCCACGACACCCAGCCAAGTAGAAAGAATCCACAAGACATTAAAATACCTATGAATACTTTGAACAAAGAAGTTCTTTTATGGGATAAGAAGAGTACATCTCGTACAAGCAGTGGTTTGTATCAGGATGCACAAGACGTCATTGACTGTCGCGCAACAGCAATGTTCAGTCAAGCAGACATAGCAAAGAGTTTGAAAGTCGAGAACCATGTACGAGAGAAAACKATCGTGCCTGTTTCGATACAACGTCAATCCGTGTGTTGTGGAGTCTTGTTTGAAGAGAGCTTCACCCTCGAAGAAAACAGAAGAATATCACCCGATCAATGGAATTCATTTGATGATGGTGATCAACACGATGAAACTGTTGTCATAGCCGTCTGTGATGATGATGATGATAATGATGACAATGATGGCAATGCTGATGCTGTAAGTAATGATAATGATGATAACCGTGTCATAGTAAATGTCAATCATGACCAAACTGATGTCTTTTCTAATAATATAAGAGTGACGAAATGGCATGATGATGAGGGTTGTCATGGAGATGACATGAAGATGTTACTAGTAAGTTACCATGGCAATGATCTTGATACTTGTCATGGTAACGTCACAGGAAACAGTGCAAGTGATGCTGATGAGAAAAAGGATGCTGATGCTGGTAGTCAAGAAGATAGTTCAAAGAGATTTCTGCTAGGAAGCGGTGCGGTTGATGTTGAAAATGTTGTGGGTGATGATGATGATGATTATGATAGTTATGAGGATGATGATGGTAATGATGATGATTATGAGGATGATGATGATGATGATAAGATAGAGAATGGTGGTAATCCCTTTGATCTCGAGGAGTCAGAATACCAAAAATTGATGCAAGCGTTAGATGATTCAATTGATTCCCTGCTTGATGATGATCATCAAGAAGAACCCAGTATTGATGAAGAACACTACAACACAGGGAACCCATTTGTGCCTTCTGATTGGACAAATGAACAAACAAAATCAACTGATCTTTCGACGTACGAGGAAAATGACACCAATACAAAGAATGAAGAGGTTTGTGCCAATGAAYTGTCACTGGAACAAATGAAAACCCCTTTTGATGATGAGAGCGAGTGTAATGATCTCATTCGTGAGGAATCATTCTGCGGTTTAGAAGACGAACGAGACGATGGCAGCAAATGCGATGACAATGAAATGAAAAATCCTTTTGATGAGAGCGTGTGTGATTATCTAGTTGGTCTGGAATCATTCTGCAGTTCTGAAGACGATCAAGATGATGGCAGCAAATGCGATGACAATCAAAGGAAGAAGTTTGAAGAACAAATTGAGAATCACACCAAGGAAAACGAATTGGAAAGCAATTATCATCATGTACCAACAGAGTTAGCCAAGACTCGAGATAGCTACTGTGCTGGACACGATGAAGTTGAGAGAAAGTTTATTGGCTCACTTGAGAAAAGAACTGATGCTGGGTTCAGTGGGTTAGACTTGTTTGAAGAACATCCATTTGATGTAAACTTGTTGGTGAAGAAAAAAAACGGCTTACTAGATGATAGTTTAAAAGCTGCGGCTGAAAAAGAGAATTGTCGAGATGAGCTGGAGGACATCAGTCAGTGCTGTAAAGCCGTGTTGGAGGAAACCAGCTCACATTCAATTGATGCACTTGTGATGGAAGATGGAAAGAATGATGAGGAGGASGASGACGAAAAGCAACAGGAACGCGACCTTCCACATGTAGAAACATTCACAAAGACGGCTGATGTTCACATGAAGAATGATGGCGGAATGAAAGAAGATCAAGATCAACAGGACCCTAGTCAATCCCGCACTATTCCCGTGATAGTGGAACCCTCCACACCCACGCGGGAAGATGTACGCCAGTGCAGCATGGATGGAAATGATTTTGTATCTCTTCTTGAATCGTGCGGTATCCTAACACCACAATCAAGCCAGGGTGAACAGTTTTCGAGTGATTGCTTATTCACCAACGAGGACTCCACGATGGATCTTTCATTTCAGGATCGGATACAAAACGTCAACAAAGCTTTTGAATGGGTTCGTAAAGAACTACAAAAGATGCGCGGGATTGATTTTGATTTAAAAGTTCAGTTTGATGGACTCCGACAGGAAGTGCRATCATTACGAGAAGAGTACGAGTTATTTGTTAATTGTGAATACTATGACGATGACGAGATTTTCGACGAAGCCGCGGAATACACGACTTGTCAGAGAAACTCGAGTGATACTGCGAGTAAAGTAGTACAAGATGATTCCAATCAGTGTATGCATAGTAAGCCATTATTACACAATGGAATACGAGAAGATAACGGGTATCATTCAGACACGCCTTCTTGCAGTACAGACACTGGATTAACAGGCAATAACAAACCACAACATACCACTCATGCGCATGCTAAGTACTATTATCAACCGCAGCCCACACAACCAAAGATCCAAGAACT